ATCGTCCATCTCTTCCCTTCCATGTGTGCAAAGCAGGCCCTATAGCAGTGCCAATGCCAGTGCACAGACCTGAAGGTTGTGAAGAAGATCACCCTGGGCCAAGGAAAAGAAAATGGCCTAAAGGTCGACATCCATGGCGCATAATCGGCAGAAGCGCCAAGGATGCCTAAGGCTACCTGCTAAGTGCAGAGTGAGGGGCCGCTTCACTCTAGCACCACCGACCCCTTGAGAATCAACCGCTGCAAACAAAGCACTGCCACAGCCACCGACAAAGGGAGGCTTACTGAAGGCCAGTTGACATCAACGATCATCAATGTGGGATGTTCCACTTCCACGACTAGATTGTCAGATGGAGGGTAACAAACGGGGTTGAAGTATGCTTGCGCCCGGCAGGAAATGTATATTGCTTCGGAGGGTGGTCAGGGAGACCCAATGCCTGCATGCCTTGTCACAGTGGATAAGCACCTCGACAAAATTCCGCCGAGCATTGCAACCTTTATTTTGGACAGCTTTAGACTTGCAAGGCATCATTAGTCATCAAGTTGACTTGTTGGTGACTGGTTTATTCCAGAGATTTATTCCAGAGATGTTTGGAGTGCCCAAGTAGGTTGGAGGGCATCGCTATTAGGTTGAAGGCCGTCGCTAGTAGATTGGAGGGCAGAGCGGCCTTTGAAATATGTGGACGACTCATGTTCACTCCAGGTATTTGGCCAAGACCATGGATATGTGGAACCGTGACCCAGAGAAATGGAAACAGCTGAGAGATTTGGAGCCTACAGAGGACAGAGAGAGCATGCCTGTTGTTTAGCGGCTTTGTGCGTCTCTCATTTGCCCAAATGGCCATTGTGCATCATTGGATTTGGTGACTAACAATTTGATATGAGCAACCACTTTTATTTAGGCTTTACTAAAGTAGTCTACAGCATGCTCTATTTGCTCGTCTATCATCAGTATTCGCTTGCGAACGAGATAGGGCCCCCACATAAACGAAATACTTTTGTTTGATGACACTAAAGTAGTCTGAACGGGATAGTGTTATTCGCTACTAAAGTAGTCTGAACGAGATACTGTGACATGACCTCCTGCTTAAGTAGTCTAAACGAGATAGGGCCCCCACATAGTAGATCATGTATTTGAGTTTAGTACCATATAAATGCCGCCGCACATATAGTATTTGTTTAATGCTTTACATGGTCAAGTCACAGGAGAATTTGTCGAAGATTGTCGCCAATGCAACTTTACTTTCATGGAGGTATCGCCATGAAACCAGAGGAGGAGTCACAGAGAATTGTATTGCAAGTTAGCAGACAGACACTGAAGTAAGAAAAGTGAAAGGGCTGAGCTCCACTTGCTGAGCCTTGTTGAGCCACGCTCGAGCTCGTCTCTCTAAGGCTCGAGCCCTGCCTCAAAGCTCCAATGCGCAGCTGCTTGCCCTTGCCAAATGTCACATGGCAGAGTTGAGCACCGTGGCGAAGACAGATGCTGCGGAGATGGTGGTGGAGCAACTGGTTACCATCGTGCCAAAAAGGTTGAAGGCAGCCGAAGGATGAGTCTTGCAGAAGAGCTTATACCGCAAGGATTTAAGTTGGTGTGCCGAAACTTTCAGGCTGTTCACATGTGAATATGCAAGAGATACTTCAGTCCAAGAAGCAGCTGGAGTGTTATTAGTTCAAAATGTTTGCTAAGGGATTCAATATTTGATGTACAGGTACAACCATCTATAGTTGACGATTGATATAATTCCAACTGGCTTGGGCCAGCGGAGACGATTCAAGACAGACTTGTTGCGTGCGACAGGCTGAAAAGTATTCGCCTGAGGGCAGAGACCAATTAGCTCATGAGCTCATGGACTACGGAGCCTTGCATGTCCAGATTGGAATAACATGTGTATAATGATGAAACGCTGCGGTGACATGTTGGACAAGATCACATCACGGCCTGAGGAACCTTCTTGCTGGCTAACCTTGTTGCCTAGCTGAAATAGAGCTCAGAAAGCAAGGGCCATGTCAGCTGCAAGAGACGCTTGCTCTATTCATATTTATTGCCCACGTTGCCCACTTGGCTCAGGTGCAGGCAGAAAAATCCGTCAGCGTACCAAAGTTGAAAGGCCCTCGCTTTCAGGAGCCATTTTAAATGAAAACTGCTACTTTTGCCACACCTTTGCCTTTCAAAATATTCACTCCCGAATCGTTCCTATTCCTACAGCAGCCCCGGGCACACAATACTGTACTGAGAGGCTAAAGCTCGGAACATTCCGGATCTTTTTCTCGCTTGTCACTTGTGTCACTTGTATCACTTGTCCTGTCCACCCTTCCGTTGATCGTTTTCAGGAAGCTGCTAGCCTAGTTTGGGAGAGGAAGCAGGATGACGTAAAAGTCCTTGCGGCTTTATCCTATGTGTTTCCTGGCATGTCAACTCGTGGACTTCCGATCGACATTAAATGACTCTGACTCTATTTATATGGACTTCTGTTTCCCGAAACAAAGAGAAACCATAACTTTGTTTTGGGAAGTTTGATTGTAGGTTGGAACTTTTTGTGGACCCAATGATCCAAGTTGGTCGTTTTCTGTGTGCTTTGGGCGCTGGTGGTTTACCAGGTTGCAGGCTGTGTCTGCCAACATAACAAAGTGGCAAGTGCAGATGAACGATGGTGGCTTCCTGGCAGAACTGGGGGTGGTAGGTGGCAATGCTCGCGCCCCTGTTAGCTGCGAACAGCCACCAAAGGGCGCCAGCATGGCACATTCTCACATGCATAGCTTGATGAACTTGATCAACATTCTACTGAATATGCAGCATCGATGGCTAGCTAAACTGCCTCCTGGCAGCAAAAACTCTTGAGGTGATTGGACAGATATGGCTGCAGAGCAACAGCTAGCCCTACGCACGGCTGTGTCCAAAGGCAAGTGAAAAATAACGCAATTGCAACTAATCACAACCGCATCAGATTTGCGACCTTTGAAGCATATGTATATACTTTGAAGCCTGGACAGCTATCAAGCGTGCTTGGTATTTAGTATGATTGCGCCTTCTGATGCGTCTACAGACAAAGATTGATGAGGGTGTTGTTACCCTCCAACCGTCAAAATGACAAGACGTTTGAAACAACCATTCTTACGACGTGTCCCTGTGATGAATCCCCTGCGTCTTTTTCAACCATACTGCCTTTCTCTATTGCTTCACTTGTTTTTTAATCCGACCAGAGTACAGCTGCAGATCCATATTTTTGTTCAGGCGAGACGGTACTACATTTCCGCGCTCGCGGCTTCCCATATGAAATTGACCTCAAGGCCAGACTCGCGCCGAAGTCGAATTCCATATATATAATATAGAATTTGTTTTGCTGTCGCATGCTTTCATCAAGCCATTGCAAGCAGTAGCTATAGAAGCTGCTGTTGCATTTTCATTCAGCTTATGCATTGCATGTCTCATCCGGTTCGGTTGTCAGTTAGGCTTGTGACTATGCTGGTCAGGAGATGACCCAGACGAACTTGAAGAGTGGTACCTCCCGCAAGATACAAGAGGCCTTCCTGTTCATTTCTCATATAAGTCCATATTGGGCCTATGGGGGAAGTAGTTTGAACTTGAATAGAAGAGTCCATCAAGATCAATCAACATCAAGCAACAATGCAATGCATGCTTTGGTTGCCTCGCGTGCGCTAGCAGCTAGCAATAGGAAGGCAATGTTTGTTCCTTTCTTACTGAAGACGCCAGGTGTCCGTGACCTCCTTCGGCGAGGGTGGTGCGGAAGAGTCCAAGCCGTACAAGTGGCAGGTCTCAAATGGAAAAGGCGGGGAATGCGGAACACACGCATGTACAAGGCCCACAAGGCTCTCTTGGCCTTTAAAACTGACCGGGCAAAATGCAGCCAAATTTCAAAAGCATTGGATGTATTTCTTTAGCAAAAAAAAGCTTTGGGTCTGTGTCTGATGTTCGATCTCTGGCGCGCTTTCACACAAGAAGTGCGAGAAAGATTCAGATATAGATAGTAGATAATTATTAGATATTGCATTGATTTTGAACTGTGTCAAAATGGTCAGGTGGTTGGTGGGACTTCCCGCCAGAAGTTGATACAGTTGTTAAAGATGCCAAAGCTGCTGGGCTGACGGTGGTGACGTGCGTGATCAGGCAAGGGGTCCCTGGAACGCTCCAGGGAATAGCATTGCACTATGCCCAAGCTCAAGTTGACATGTATTCTGTATTCTCTTACATATCCACATGCCATGTTTGCATGGCCTGCTTACAGGGGGCAGCCGTACGAAGTGTCTCAGCTGCAATAGCCAGGGCCGCCAGGGCAGCAACCTTGGCCGTGCAAATTGTTTTGCCTTTCTGAATTTCTGGCAAGGTTTGATGCTGTCAAGAGAGGGGATTGTTGCAGCATGTAGCTGCTTCTAATCTAAGCTTTGCACCACACATGCAGGTGGACCTGAACAAAATGACCCAGAAGAACACAAAGACTGGTACCAAGCGTGAGATTCGTACCTGTGAAATTTGATGCAAGCTGCCCCGTGCACAAAAAGGTCCTGCTGGCCAAAGATAAAGTCAGCGGGCTGACACAATTGTGTTTTCGTCATGGCTGCATGTCAACCTCTGTTGGAGACCTAGGCCTAGGCAAAAATTCCTTTCTGCACTCATTGGATACTTATACAGAATATAACTATATACTTCGAAAAAATGCAATGTTGAAGCAGAGTTGATTTGTGTGAATGGGCATGGAATGGACATGCTGCCGTTGAGAGGGGCTTGGCCTGGCGTAAACCGCAAAGGTGGTTTTGCCTGAGATGGTTCCAAATAGTTTCAATTTGTAATCCATATCGTCCTGTTCAGTTGTATGTGTCCGGCGAAGCAAGATGCTTTGCCAGAACTTATTGGCCACTCGAGGACCACGAGTGAGAATGCCCCCCCCAACCATAAAAACACGAGACTCCGAGATACTGTAGTCTCCGCAACAGATACACACATGTCTTTGCCAAGTCATCCTTTTACATTTCCGAGCATTGCAGGTGCCTTCAGTACCTGCTTTTCTTGTAGCACGCGCTGAGAAGACCTTGGCACATTTGCACCAACCTTGGCACATTTGAGCACACGACTTCTGATGCTTCAACGCAGCTTCTTCTCCACAAGTCGAAACTGGCGAATATTAGATGGTAGCAGCTGTAGCAGCAATCGTAGAAGCCTTTGAGTAGTCACACTCATCCTGCTCCCTTGTTTTTAATCCTAGGGATGGTGTGCACAAGAAGCACGAAGATGCATGTGTCAACCTTCGATTCTACAGACTAAACCCTTGACATGTGAAGCTAAGCAAATACCCATGTCATGACAAGAGAGGGAGCTTCTGGATGCTTTTTGCACAGAATTTTAAGGCTTACGCCTGACAGCCGGGCGCCGGCCCAACACAGGGCAAAAGTAGGACGGTAGAGGAGATAGAGGCAAAAGACATGAGGCGACGGGGGTCGGGACGTCGGGCATCCCGGCAACATCCTTCAATGTGGAAGGGGGCTGACCGCCCAGGTGTATGTAAGAGACACCGAAGATCGGGAGAGCCGTCGCTCTCTCTCTCTTTCTCTTTCTCGTTGGCTTGCCTAGGGTCTCTTTCCCGCCACGTCTTTCTCCCTCTCTTGCCCTCTCTCTCTCTCTCTCCTTTTGTGTCTGTCGCCCTCTCCCCGTCTGTTTCTCTCTCTCTCTCTCTCTCTCTGTCGTTCGTTCGTTCGTTCGTTCTTCCTTCCTTCCTTCCTTCCTTTCTTCCTTCCTTCCTTTCTTTCTTTCTTTCTTTCTTTCTTTCTTTCTTTTTTTCTATCTTTCTGTTTGTCTGTCTGTCTGTCTGGCTGGCTGGCTGGCTGTCTGTCTGTGTCTCTGTCTCTCTGTGTGTCTCTCTCTCTCTCTCTCTTTGAGACTGGGGCCTATGTTGCCACATCTTGAGGCTGTTCATTTAGGGCGGGCTATGTTTCCCATATCTGGGACCGATGTGGGGTCATCTTGCGGCTATGTGTGCCATATCTGGCACATATGGTGGGTCATCTGGAGGGCCTCCCTTTTCCGCCTTGGCGCTTAGACCGTGCCCGACACCCACGAAATGTCGATTAATCCTGTCCGCGCGGCGCGCATTGCCGACACCACCCTTGAAAAACACAGCATGTTTGCATTTCTCCTTCGACGCCGCGTCGCACTTCAGTATGCGCAATAAACCTGTAAAGCACAGTGCTTTATACTTCACACACACACGAAACACTGTAAATTACATGGTGGGAGGTGAACGCGGGGTGGGTCAGGGGTGAACCGGAGGTGGTCGGCGGCAGGGGGCGTCGTTTGTTAACCTTCGGTTAGATGCCCATTGCCCTCCGGGCGCAACACGGGCTGGCCCGGCCGGCGCCCGGATTTCAAGGCTTACGCCTAACAGCCGGGCGCCGGCACACTAGGGTCTGTGTAGGGCACATCTTGGGCCCACGTTGAGCCTGTGTTGGCCTATGTTAGGCCTATGTTGGCCTATGTTGGCCTAGGTTGGGCCTATGTTGGGCCTATGTTGGCGTATGTTGGCCCCATGTTGGCCTATGTTGGCGCTATGTTGAGCCATCTTGGAGGCTATGTTGGGCATATGTTGGGGATATGTTGGCTATCTTAGGCCTATGTTGAGGATATGTTAGGCAATTTAATTCGTCTGGAGGGCCTCTACCCACAAAATGTCGATTATGCTTGTCCGCCCGGCGCGCATTACCGACACCACCCTTGAAAAACACAGCGTTGTTGTTTTTGCATTTCTCCATCTTCGCCGCGTCGCACTTCGATATGCGCAATAAACACTGTAAACACAGTGTTTTTTCATACCTCACACACATAATACACTGTAAATTACAGGGGCATCAGTGACCCGGAAGTGACGACGGGGTCCCCCGGTTTTCGCTTCGCCCTGGTGCCGCCGACCCCTTTTTTCAGGAAGGGCCTGCAGTGAGTAAGGTAGAAGCGAGCCGCAACGAGCGAGAATGCCTACCGTGGCTGGCGCGTCGCCTTCGGGAGCCCATAAAGCAGCTGCCTGGCGCGTCGCTTTCCATGCCCAGTTGCCTGGCAGCTGAGGTGTGCGTATAAGGCAGAATGCAGCCGCAGCAGCGGAGGGTTTCCGGGCGAGCAAACGTTGCCTGGCACGTGCCAGACTCCCGGCAATTTCCTTTGCCTTGGGAGCCTATAAAACAGTTGCCTGGCACGTGCCAGAGGCTCACTCCCAAGGCTCCCGGCAATTTCCTTCGCCACAGCTTTCCACCATCTAATTCCACACCAAAAGCCGCAGCCAGCCAAAATGCCTAATGTCGCCTGGCACGTCGCCGGGGCCCACTTCGGGGGCCCATAAAACAGTTGCCTGCCACGTGCCAGAGGCTCACTCCCAAGGCGGCTCCTGGCAATTTCCTTCGCCACAGCTTGCCACCATCGGCCGCAGCCGTCGCCTTGATGCAGAAGGTTTCCGCCCGGGCAAACGACACCACCTATTTCCACACCAAAAAGGGGCGAGCCGCAGCCACCCAAATCCCTAACATCGCCTGGCACGTTGCCGGGCATGTCTCTTTCGATGCCTAGTTGCCTGTCCCAGTTGCCTGGCAGCTGAGGTGTGCCTATATAGCAGAATGCAACCGACGGCCACACCTAGAAACGGCGCCGTCGACACACTCTGGATCTGCTTGGGCAGAAAAAAGCAGCGGCACCACGACGAAACGCTCTGGATCTGCTTGGCCTGCGGTGTCCCCGGCGCCGCCCCGCCTAGGCGTCAGCTAGGCAGGGGTCGGCGGATAATGCACTTCTTTAGTGGTTCCCGTGGTTCCCGGCGTTCGGACACTGAGGTGCTTGATAGCTTGGCGCCGAGAGGCGTGGTGAGAGAGGTTGAACTTCAAGGGAAGACCTGCTTATTACGAATGATTCTTACCTTGGAGTACTTCCATTCGAGCTGTCAGCATGCAAGATAAGTTGTTCACATATTTGGAACAGATTTCGCCTCTTGCAAAGGTGCACAGCCGTCAAAGTGTTTGCAAAGTGTTGCAGCCCACCTGGGCAGTGGTGCTTGGCCTGTTTGGGTGATTTTGGGTGGTTGCTTTACTTTTACGATAATTCTGGGCAATTACTTCGGAATCACTAGTATCAGAGGTGATTTGTAGTTTTTATGCAGCGTACACAGTTGGTTAAGCAGTCAAAGGTCACTGCCCTGAACAGGAAGAACAAAAGGAGTGAATCATGAATTGTCAATGAAAGGATATGAAAGGTCGAAATTATCTGTACTTTGTAGCTGTGTACGGTTTAAATATGTGTTTGTTTCAGCCCAAAAACTCGAAATTTTTTAAGAACCCGAGCCGCATCCGAGCCCTTTTTTTGGTTTTGTTTAATCTATGAACCACTGGGTTACAACTGTTCGTGTGTAAATAAACTGAATTTTTTTGTACTACTATATTCCTAGCTTCAAGTAGTTTCCTTGCGATTACTAGCTGCCTACCAGTGCCTACCTCTCCTGCCTCCTGGTCTTCGCGATCTTACCGGCTCGGAAAATACCTAGAAACGCAAGACATACTGCAAATTTTCGGAAGAATATTTTGCACAAAATCTCTAGGCTTGGAAGGCTTGGTGCATTTGGTGATGCCAGGCAGAGGCCAGACACTTGCTGCGGCGCACATGGGTTCTTTGGCGACCATTGGGTCGTTTGCAGCGGCAGAAGGTCTGGGAGCACGTCAGCTGGTCATGTTGCACAGTATTGTTGTGAGAAGGTTTTGACCCCCTGGTATAGCTTGTGTGTATATATAGATAGATAGATAGATAGATAGATAGATAGATAGATAGATAGATAGATATTGCAACAAATACTTTTGTAGATACTGCAACTGTATTCGCATACAAACACCTGTCTTCAGTAACTGGTATTGCAGGCAAACTCCGTTTATCTCTCTACAGGGTTTGGAGGAGGGGCAAGTGCAAAGTTGTGTGAGGCGACTCTGTCCAAGCTTGCAAGCGCAAACATAGAAAGGGAGGCCAGAGCCTCATCACGCAGATGCAGAGTTGCACCATGAAACCGTCACATCCTTCCCAGGCCAATACAGTATTAGGATTTACGAGGACATGATATAGACTGACATATTTTTGTTGAGGTATTCGTCAGTATCATGTATTCTTTGAGGTTGCTGTTTGCTTTACACGCTTCACGTCAGAATGCGTAAGATCCATCAGCTCTTTTGCGATCACGATAGGGGCAAAGTCAACCGAAGGTTTTTCTGTCGATTTGGAGATTCCCAGAAACCATCAATAGGAGATACGTCAGAAAACACATGAATGCTGAAGTCTATATAATGACACTGCACACAGTCTGCAAGACTTGTTTGGTTAAGAATCAAGAATCGTGTCTTATTTTTGCAGATTGGCTCAAAAGTTTTTGACTTCTAGACTTGGTGATCAACGCCATGACTCAGAAGATCGAAATAGGCAGGGCAATCCATCGCTTTGCGATTGGTGATCTTGTCATGGTTTGGCCCTTTCAAAGGTGCTTTTGTCAAATCTTCGTCTTTGCTTTTGATTAAACCGCTTCTCGGTTGGTGTTGCTTTTGCAGCCTGCCGAATCCAAACATTCACTGCTTCGTGCTGTATTGCATGTTGTGAGGTGGCTGAGGAGCACCTCCACCCCTAGAGGGTGACGCTGATGCCCCCACCGACGTGGTGGAAAAGAGAGGAATTTGCGCAGCAGTATTCTCGTCGCTACACTGCAGTCTTCAGCGATCAATTGTTTATTGGCACACACCTGTTTCGGCTCTTTCCTCATTCCTGTCCCTCCAAGTTCCCTCAGTGGATGCACAATGCATTTGACGGTCGAAATGCGCATATATACTCTTATACTAGATATAGTTATCCAATGTTATATTATACATGTGAGTTGTTGCATAGTATGATGTACTGTACATGGGTTCTCATGCGCATGTAGATCACGAATGGCTCTTTGAGATTTCCTCAGGCTGGTCCTCTCCATTCCCACCCTGGTGGGTACCTCGGCTGGGTTGATATGCTAAGGCCACATGCTGACCTTATCAAATCCTGGTGTTGCTTCACTCCAGCTAGCGCTTACTCAAAGCCTTTCGGAGTAACCCTAAAAGTGCAGGTCGAATAGGTGCAAAGAACCACTGCCGGCCACTCAATCTGAACAAAAAGCTGTTACCTTTCATTTCACAGAAGTCTTCGATTCGTCCCAAAACTGCTGTCGAGCTCAGAGAAAGCAATAATTACTGTACATCCAAGGTACCTGATGTTGGCCTTTGATCGTTGGCTGGTTTATGCAGATTGCTTGGTACCAAATTGGATCCTCAGACGCAGAGGGGCGCATTGATCGATGTGCCACAGAGTTCTCATAGAAGGCCAAGTTTCCCCAAAAGACTAGGAACCAAATTGAACCAATCATGAGAACGGTTCTTCTGCGTCTCAGCTAGTAGCGGCCTACTTATAGAATGGCTACGTACTAGCTTACTAGCATCTTCTTGACCCTTCACGGCCGGGTTTCACGGCTTACCCCCTATCTCACTCGTATATAATCAAGCACATAATAAGTATTTATCATTCTCTATCTATCTATTTATGTATATGCATAGTATGTGACTCTACACATATATGTAGTCTCAAAAAGGCTTAGGCTTGGGTTCCATGGATGCGCGCTCTGAGCGAATGCCTCGTTTGACTCCTTATGCAAGAAATTGTTTTTACTGCTCTTGTTATCTCTTGTTGCTTTATCGTTTAATAGAGATATCTATGTTGTGTAGACAACACTATCTCGCGAGAGGTAAGGCTTAATTTGGAGTAAACCGGCAGACTAGGCACCCATGTCGAGCATCTTTTCTACGCCCTGGAGTTGACATTGACAAGTATCATGGTCCTCACCTTAGTCCGACTGCCAGCAGACAACAGCCAATCTGGTCCGCAAAAATGTTTCACCATGTTTCTCGAGGCACAATTGTGTTGCAGAAAAGTTTTGTTGAAGGATCTCAACAAATACTGTATTACTTTTGGAGTCCAGCTACCCTCCTGTGGTCATATTCACATGAGTGCATTCTGCTTGAACGAGTTTGGCCCTGATGTGCAACCCAAGGTTACAAATATTTTCCAGTACGGCTGGTGGCGATGCAAAGCTCGAACCGGTGATCTGTCCCACTGGCAAAGGCCGCGCAAAACAAGGGGGAAGATGCTTCGATGTGATGCATGTGCTATCATGTGCTCAGTCTTGCTCTTACGATATGTATTTGGTCTCAACCCTTCGCAGCTTGAGGTGGGACGCTGCATACTACTTGGGGGCAGCTGTGCCTATGAATATTGGTATGCCACTGGCAGTAGTGCTCATCTATATCGGTGAAGCAGGCAGGTTACGCCGTAGTAGTAGGATTGTGAGTTAGGTGCAAAGCTCCTGCTAGTAATTACTTTGACAGCTTCTAGACCTGCCGCGGCAAGCTTGCAGGCTATCCACATTCCAAAATGTGGCGCAACGGGAGCTGGATGCCGAATACACCACATGGAATTATTCTGTACATCTTCAAATGGCAACCCTGCAGCAGAGATTAGCGTACTGCTTATTGTAACTTCCCTTAGCTGTTCCCGTTTCTCATGATCGAAGCAGTCGGTTTTACTCCTTCTTTCCTTCTGCTCGCGATTGATGCCTCTATTGTTCGTTGTTATATACTAGTCTTCAAAGTCCATGCCTCGCGTGAGTCGATGCAACACTGAGTATGCACAGGGAATGTAGGTTCTTTACCAGCCACTCTTTAGTTTCCCTAAGTATCTAGGAACCAAATCATTCGTGCGAGCGCTTCTTCAAGGAAGCTCCCCGTGCCCTCAGGTGAAGGGAGCTTCCTTGAAGAAGCGTGAGCTATCCTGTGTCCATATGTAGTATCTTAAGTAGCTAGGAGCGCACTTCCCTTGCTTAATTGAGCAGGCGCCTACGTACGTAATTAAGTAGAAACGGGCTAAGAAAAACACCCTTGCCAACTTGCCAACCCATGTTCCGCATCTTGGTGACCACGTTGTGTTCCAGATGTTACTCTGTGGATTGACTTTTCCTGGCCAGTGTCTTCTCTGAATCAACATAGTGCCATGCGGATGCACTGACTTTGCTTGAGTTGCTTTGACTTTGCTTGGCTTATACCTTTTTTTGCTTGCCGGAGTTGACTTGTGCAGCTTCACCTGGGAAATTGAGGCTTGGAGTGATATTCCTCACAATTGGTGTGTTCAAAGCCACCCAGCTTCACTGGAAGATCATTAAGAAGTCCCTTGGCACAACGGAGTTGCATTGCTCATAAATGAATGGCCTTGCAGATTAAACTAGCAGGGCTTGCCAGGGCTTTGTTTCCGGCCCCGTTCGATACAGCAACATGTGCCCTGCAGAAGAAGGACCTCACAACTACTGGTAGGATAGGAGCTGAGTGCACTCAGGTGGAGGAAGCTGCGTGGCCAGGCACGCTGTCATGTATCCTATACTTTTGAATTTCCAGGTCAAGTCTGACCGGGAACCACCCAAGAAACCCAAGAACGCTTGCCTTCTAAAGTAGTAATGTCACAGTTCCCCATTGTCAAGCACGCAGCAAGAACGCCTGCACCCACTCAAGGCGGAGTCAGCAAGAACTGGGAGATCCATTGATTTGTGAGCCATCTGAGACAGACTATATATTGTTCTTCCGATGCCAATCTTTGAGGGTGATGCAGACCTCAGTTTTGCAGCAGACATATGGTGCCACACGCACTTGCCCAGAGAATTTCCATTCAGGTGTTTCGTAGGTTCTGGTAATATTGGAATATATTGGAATTCTTTGTAAATAAAGACAGACGCCAATGACTGATAGGTAGTAAGTCCTCCACCAGTGCAGAAGGAATCAGCTTGAATGTGCCTCGAAGTATTTGGGTGTTGCTGCTGTTTGATTTCTGGATGTGTGTAATGTTACTGAGAGCAATAGCAATGGTCTTTGTCACTTCATTTATATCAATAGTGTTTGTTTATCTTGCTCCGCCTTGGAAGATGTTTACAGAATTTGTCCTAGTTCACCAAGCACGCCAAGCCCGGAAAGAGTTTGTATCTTAAAAATTGAGGCATAGAAAGCATGAATGCAGCCGTGAGCTTTGTGGGATATTACAAGCCACTGCATATCCCTGAAAGGGATTCTCACCCATAATCACGAACCATTGGTCGTAACTATTTTGACCTATTTTCGGTGTATAGTTGTACAGCAATCATGCCTCGGTTGAGATGTGGCTTTGTCGGCTCGCACAAGTCACTCTTCCTGGGGCGAATATGCCGAGCACAAGGTATGTAAAGATGTCTCAATGGTATTTTGACCCAAAGGGTCTGCAGAATGAACTTGAGATCCCAAGTCTGGAGAAGTCATTGAAGACTTTGGAAACAAGAAGCTAAAGTGAGGCGTCATGTCCAAAGACTCTCCACAGACCCGGAAGGGATTTCTCCTGATATTGCTAGACCCTGCGGAGCCAATACCACACACCTGTGCGGCGGAAAAAAAGGCAGGGACTGTGCTGTCTTTGCAAGCAGGAGGAGACTGCATGGCACAATCGGCTTTGGGCACAGCTATGTCCGCCCATTGACCAGGCTTCCGCGTTCCTGCGGCGAGTCCTCGTTGCGTGGCGGGAGAAGGCTTGAGTCTCATTGAGTGATTAGATCCACACGATCTTGGAAGTACTGTAATATGAAGTAATTGTAAACAGATAGAATGCACAATGGAAGATACATGAAGACTACTTTATATTATGTATGTGTAGCGGACCTGGCATGGCCTTACCTTCGTTTTTTTCACCTCTTAGAGCAGCCCAAGCTTGAAGTAGGCTCAAGGCAAAGCGAGGGGGACGGTGTCATGCTTTTGCAGGTTGCATTGTCTCACTCTGGGTCGGCTTCCAAAGGCGTGGCTTTTCTCAGTATTTCCCAGTATGCCTTGTCTTTGTTTTCATAATTTGTGCGACTGCCACTTGCAAGCCGCATGAAGAAGTCAGACACATTCAGACAGAATGTAACTCTCCAAGACTCATAGGCTGGTTCCACGAATGAGAATGTCCATGACACAAAGCTTGAACAGAGTCGCCGGTCGTGTCCAAGCCCCGGTCAGGTGATCACGCGAGTGTCGGCACTGTTCCACTTTTGGCTTGATCCTCGGGTGTCTTGGGGCGCGGCCAAAAACAAGAAATGTAGTAGAGGTTGGAGGCCATCGTTATTAGGTTGGATCGCTATTAGGTTGGAGGCCATTGCTAGTAGAATGAAGCCTGTCCCTGACTGGAAATACCTGGGCCCCGATTGAGTTGGAGCTGCACATTGTCAAATGAGACGTTTGGCTTGCGCTCGGATTTTGCGAATTAGACTTTCTCTCATGCTGGCCCTGGTGTGGGAAAACCAGCTGGACAGGGTGGACCCGAAGCAGTGCTCAGACCCAACAACAAGGCCGAGCTTCAGATGAGGTAGGAGGTTTTGGAGTACAATGAGAGTTTTTAAAGGATGGTTGACAAGTTAACATGCAGCTAACGTAGTCGATGCGCTTTGAGGACACGTTCAAAGGCAGATATGAAGTGCAGGCAGAAACCAAAATTCCACATGTGGTGGCTGGAGAATGCTGAAAAGACATGAAATAAGCCCTTTGAACAGAGCTGTTGTCCAGGTCAGGGATGGCCGCGAGCAGTCAGGACCCAATACCGTTGTTGCATGTTCTTGCAAACGTACAGCTGTGCAGGAGGATCAGATTGCTTGTGTGCTTGTGTTTAAAAGTCAATTGATGCGTTATTTCTTAAGAATTCTAAGGACGCTACTAGGGGCTCCTGGCCTTACTACTAGGAGAAAGGACGCTACTAGGGGCTCCTGGCCTTGCTACTAGGAGCAAGGACACTACTAAGGGCTCCTGGCCTTACAACTAGGAACAAAAAGCTACTAGAGGCTCCTGGCCTTACTACTAGGAGCAAGGACGCTACTAGGGGCTCCTGGCCTTACTACTAGGAACAAGAAGCTCCTGGGGGCTCCTGGCCTTACTACTAGGAGCAAGGACCCTACTAGGGGCTCCTGGCCTTACTACTAGAAGCAAGGACGCTACTAGGAACAAGAAGCTACTAGGGGCTCCTGGCCTTACTACTAGGAGCAAGGACGCTACTAGGGGCTCCTGGCCTTACTACTAGGAGCAAGGACGCTACTAGGGGCTCCTGGCCGTACTACTAGGAACAAGAAGCTACTAGGGGCTCCTGACCTTACTACTAGGAGCAAACACGCTACTAGGGGCGCTCTTGAGTTTGCATTGAACCCCAAAGACCCACAGAGCTGTGAGACTCCTAGGCAATCGCCAGCATCCACTCAGCCACTGGACGTGCCCAAAGAGGTCACGAACGGCGTTCTACGAGAAGGCATCAGATCGTTTGGGACAGTGACTGTTTGAGTTGACAGGAAGCTTGCAACGTACTACTTCCCACGAATCTGAAACCTGCAGACACATCCTATCACATCCTTGAAGAAGTTCCTAGCCCCTAAACCTCACAGCGAGCGACATCCCCGGCTTAATGTCATGTGGAGGTAGGGGAGGCTTTCGCGGCAGCACGCAGGGGGTGGCTTCGGAACGTCCATCCTCACCTTTGCGTCACACGTCGGTGAATGGTTGCTCGTGTGACGAGATGCATGGTGGTTGCCAGGTGGAACAGGCTCAGCACAGCTTATAGATCTTATAGTTAGCAGTGCCCGAGCGCCAATGCAATGTTTGCAGGGTGGTTTCATATATCCCTGCTCCTTGTGAGTGTTGGCGCAGCAGGCGTTCCAGTTCCAGGTGGCCAGGATGCCTGCAACGACAACTGTGACAGCACCAGCTTCCTGGTTCTTTCCAAGCCGGTGTCCATGCAGAAGGCTGTCAAAGCAGACACAGATGTCGAGGTTTTGCAGGGCTACGCCTCTACCGAAGGGGATAATAGGAGATCGACAGCTCTCAAGGGGAAAGTGAAGTCATCCGGGTATAAGGCATCTGACGCCTACGTCAAGGTCACAAAATCAACGACCGAGTTGGAGACAGCCCTCAGCGTTGAGATGGATTTCTCCGTCACCTTTCTCAAGGATGGAATATCAGACAAGATGAAGTGGTATCAAGATCTCGAGGTGAAGGAGACTTACATCAGTGTGGCTGTTCGTTCGTACCAGGTATCGGATCACAAGGTCACCGACCCATCTACCCCAATTGTTGTGAAAGAGGATGTTGAGATCCCGAGAAACTCCACCTTTAAGAGGTTCTACAACACGTATGGCGACAAGTTTGTCGATTCCGTCAACATTGGTGGTGAGTTCATGGCTGTGTACATTTTTTTATACAAAAACAAAAGAGGAAAGAACCACCGTCGAGAACAGCCTCAGGGCCAATGGCGTTTTTGCCGGAACCTTGTCTGTGAACTCCACGCTGAACACTGCCATGAACAAGGTTCAGAAGGAGACCGAGATGCAGTGGGAGTACCAAGAAAAGGTGATCGGTGCTGACATCACTGGGCCAGGCCCAGAGAACATGGTGCAGTTCGCATTGGATTTTCAGGGCCGAGACCTTGACAGCCCCACAGTGCTCCTCGGCTTTATTGAAGAAGCCGGTCTGTTACTCCTTCACAAGATCCTGTACTCGGGGGATCGCGGAGGTTTGTTTGCAATATGGCAATAGATTGGAATTTGCAATTCAGGATAAGATAAGACATGATAAGACATCATGGTACAGGATGTCATAAAGGTGCAGGCACAGGAGTTTATGTTTTAGACAAACATGACTCGACGGACTACCTCAGGGTTCAGGATGTTATAAGAGCTCCTTCATTCCTGTAAAGTGTTGTTCCTGCACTTACGGCCCAGCTCACGGGTGGTTTTTCAGGCCAGGCTTTCGGAAACACCTACTGTTATTGTTCTGAAGTGTAGGTTATCGGTTTACAATGTTTGCAGAGCTTCTTGCAAACCCCCGCCCCTTTCTACACCAGGGGTCCTCGCCTAACGAAATGATTGTGCATCCAGGATCAGAATCCCACAGTAAGCATGATCCAAGCGCTCATTTTCAGGTTGTTTTAAATGGCTGCAAGGAGCTGCGATAGGGCAAAACCCGGCGAAGCACTAGGTCAGAACCCCCAGCACCAGGTGGCCCAGGCGCCTGCGACACCACAGCACTTTGGCACTCTTCAATCACACTGCCACATGAACCATTGCATGCCACAGAGCAACAGGTGAATCTACAACATAAAGGAATTAACTCCCACCTAAAACAAAACACAAAGGCTCAGCAAAATGGCAGGAATGAAATCCCAACTTGATTGGTTGATGGCAGTTTTTTGGGCCGGCCAGACTCCATGTAAAACCCTAAACCTGCAGTGCCGTCGGGTCCTAGGCGCAGAAGCACAGATCAATCCACTCAATCCATTCCATGCTGGAAAGGAGACTGTGAGTGCATGCTGATCCAAATCGGCCAAAACTCCGGAGCTGTGTAAAAGAGATGACAGTAAACTGACAAATTTACGCCGATCCCAAACGTGACCAAAAGTCCACAACTCAAAAAAGGTTCCCAATCATGTGTCAAAAGTGCCAAAAAAGGTGCTTTGTGGTGTGTGGGTGCTTATCGGGGCCTGGCCATCAGAGTGAGAACCACTAGAAGCGAAATCCTAGAAGGGAAGAGTAGCACAAATAGAACTGGGATTCATCACAGCCATGTCCGTCAATGGCATCAGAGGGCAGGAATGGAACCCCAAGAAAATGATTACACCGTTTGGAAAGTTGTTGGCGCAACAACTCAAAAAAACAAAATAGTGGGAACAGCCGCGCCATGTATTTGCTTTTTCTCGCTATTTGGCCGTCATAGATGGCGCAACTGGTCTTTGGAGTGCAGAAAATTAAAATTATGCGGGATGTTTGTGCGGTTACTAGTTTTCCCTACTAAAAAAACAACGTTTGGGGATGTTTGGGGCCTATAGATGGCCCAATGGCCAAGTTCTGCACATTTATGATTCCTTTTGCTTTCCTTTTGAATCCTACTATTGTCCCTTTGATTCCTTTTATGTTCCTTTTGATTTCCTTTTAATGTCCTTGCGATGTCCTTTTGATTTCTGTTTACAGTAATTTCCTTTCGATTTCTTTTAGATATCCGTTTGATTCCTTTTAATTTCCTTTTGATTCCTTTTGATTTCCTCTTGGACTTATTCATTTCCTTTTGATTCCTTTTGATTTCGTTTTGAGTCCTTTTAAATTCTTTTTGATGTCCTTTTGATTTCCTTTTGAATCCTATTATATAATGTCCTTTTGATTCCTTTTGATTTCCTCTTACGGAGGCCCAAAAGATGGCGCGGCCCAATCTCCGCTATTTTCTACAACATAGGGCGCATAATCATGGAGAACCGTCCTTTTTTTAAGCCACGGGGCGCATAGATGGCGCAACACACCTGAATGCCTTTGATACCTAAACCTGGCGCAATAAAAAAAGTCACTCATCAATTTTCTCATCGGAGTAACATTGCAGTAAGTGCAGAGTTCGTTCGGAGTTTGTTTGGAGGAAACCTCTGGATACAGGACTTCGTTAAACTCCCCCACTGGTTTTCTCCGCCCTGGGGATCTTTATGAATCTAGACTGTCAGGGTCAGCCAGACAACCAACGGGGATTTGGACATTGGAGATGTTTAGAGATGTGAAAGAAGGGTGGTAGGAACATGTAGAAGCAAATGTTTTGTCCCAAGGATTGATCTTTCCTTGAAGTGCTACAACGAGGTCCCGGAGCTGGGCACAAGTGCCTTCAACCAGGTTTGCACAAATCTGCGTGTGCTGCAGGACCTCTCTGACCGGTACAATGAATTGAGCCCCTCAGCAGACATGGCCAGAAGCATCCAAAATACGTACAAGCGGTACTTCGGCATCAGAAACCCCACGTTCACAGACACGACGTTGGACACAAACTTGGCCAAGCTAGATGCCGACATGGCAAGCATAAGGGAAGCATTCAACTCTTACAGGGGTGACCCCATCAAGCCGGTGGTGCAGCCGCTGTTGCCGTCCCTGGAGCTTGGAAGCCCGTGCATGTATATGGAGTGGAAGGCCAATGACATCAAGGGAACAAACCTTGGCACGAATTACCAGGTGCCCGAAGAGACTCCAGTCGCAGCCAAGTATGACCAAACCAGGATGGATTATTTAGATTTGTATGCGGGCGGCGACACAGGAGGCGTCGTCCATAAGCTCTGCACCACCTTCTCCAAAACCTCGGGCCGAGACGAAACAAGTTGCTTTGGCGGCGGAACCAAGAGCCCGAAATCCTTTGAGATTAGCTACTTGGACGGCAACGACAAGATCACAGAGGTGAAAGCTTGGACGCTTGGAGGAAGCCCCCTCCAAAGGCTCGAGTTCTGGACCAAGGACGAGATGGTCCTAGGTGGCGGCAGCAAAAGAGGTGTCGCGAAGAAGGAGAACGACTTCAAAATCGAGAGCAATTGCGTCCTCGTGGGCTTCAGAGGCAAAGCTGCCAACTCTGTCCAGTCCTTTGGCCCGATCCAGTTTTGCTTCAGAGAGGCTGTGTGGGATAGTTCATGCTTGCTGAGCCTTTTGGAAGGCGCAACTTCTCCATAAGTGAGATGTCCTTTTGAGGGGAGCTTGCAAAGTCATATTTCTAGCTCCTCGTTTATGCAAAAGCAAAGCAAAAGACTTTGAGATTTGCATGAAAAATTGCTTATCTTGGCTTGAATCTCAGAGCGAGTTACGCATGGCCCTGTCAAATTCTGCCAACAGCCGACTGTCATTCATTCTTTTGCAGGCCGACTGTGATTCTTTCTTTTGCAGGCGACTCGACACCGCCGCCACCGCCACCGCCACGCAGGCGTTCCATGCCAGGCCTATCAATTGCAGAATCTTTCGAATCTCAGTTGAAACTTGCTCAATATACTCAGTTGCAGCAGGAGTTGAGAAGAAGCCTGATGTGCTCACTGCGGAAGAAAGGTTGGGGTCCTAGCTTGAGCCGAACAGTGCTTGGGGCAAAAGGAACTGGAGCAAAAGATGAACCGAAGGCCGCCGAAGGCCATGTGGTCCCAGCAGCCCTCATCCAAAGCTTACAGGCTCCAAGAAGCAGCAAAGATGGTTGAGATTCAGAGCCCCGTCCTACCAGTTGCACGGCAGCTCTCTCAGTGGTACACACTCCGAAGGAGGTGAATTCAACATCCCTAACGCAAACAATATGCAAAAGGACTTTCAGAGCATGGTGAAAAGCCCCATAAGGCCGGGTGGAGTTCAATGGCGGGCAGCTGTGTGGTCCAAACCTTAGAGACTTCTCTTCTAGAAGGTTTGTTGGCTTCTCATGGCTTGGAAATGACAGCCTTTTGCGCCGACCCATTAACCAATCCAAGGCCAATCACGGGGAACTCTGGTCGCACAGGATTGCAACGGCCCGGTCAACGCGATCACTTAGCAGGCAAGATTGAACAATGAAAGCTTTGCTCAACATGCAATGCCATTGCTTCTTTGTTGAAAGCATACTAAATAAGGATTAAGAAACTTGTTGACCTTGGAAATTTCAGCTGCTTCATGAACGATGCTTGAATTGTCATACAATGCGAGTTCGCAGAGAGAGAGAGAGAGACAGAGTTTTCAGTAAGGAAATTGTCAGGTGACAAGATGATACTGCGCTGTGGACCATCCAAAGTATGTCCCGAACGCAGTCAACGGGTCACAACGACAAAGTTGAAACATGTCATGTCAAGCATACCTCTAAAACGGGTTTCTTCATGTTTCTTCGCAGACCACTCATGGCACTTAGGAAGGAGTCAAGATGCCCCCTTGTAAAACTTTCCGTGAGGAGAAACTGGAGCCGGACGTTGACTGATGCGAGTTCGAAGGGGCCTTGGAGACCAAAGATGGTACTGTAGCAGACATCTTTCCCTGACCTAAGACGAGAGGTTATTGTTTAGTGCTGTGTCCTTCCTTGGTTGAAGCTCTTCCAAAAGGGTCTCCTGCCCCACAAATCCAACTTGCATAATATGCTGGAAGGGTGGCAGAATGTGTGGAATGTCGATTTCATACATCCTTGGTGAAGCATGCTGCAAGCACTCTTCATAAGTTCTGATTTCTGGGAGTTTCTTTCGTGCAAGCAGACCAGCTAAATCGTGCTGCTTTTGCTCCAATGCCTGCTTTTGCTGCTAAATTCAGCCCAGAAGCCAATCCTACGGAGTGTAACATATCGTTGAAGCTCTTCACTGGTGTACTGCCAGGTAGGCAGCAGCAGAAATGCTGCAGCTGAAAATTTAATTCACTGTTCAATTCCATGCACGGACTGGAATTGAAAAGGCAAATTAATTGCTTTCTTGATCCTGTTTAGCCGTCGTTTCTTTTGACTTGTCACCTGTCACATTGATGGTTTGTTGGGTGCTTCTAGTGCCCTTGCCCATTCACGGCTCAAGAAAGGCAGGGTAGATTGATATGTGAGGTTCAAGGCAGAACTGCATCTTGCCACTATAAACCCAAGTCCTTGTCCCTTTCCCAGCACATGTGCCTACCTGCCCCAGCAACCTTTTGAAAAGACGTTTCACACAGTGTACCAGCAGTGCAGCAGCTGATATACACGACTCAATCATGACTTCAAGTTAGAGCTTGTTCCAGGATGGCCTTCGTTAGAATGCAAAGGCCCGAAAGTGGAACTTTGTTGCAGAATCTGCCGTTCCTTTCCTTTCAGGTGACCAAACGAGACCTCGAGCTCTTCGGACCATGGAAGCAGGCTTTGACAACGTTGAGAAGGACATTGAACATTCAACACCAGTCGTGTTGTTCCTGTTTGGAGCGTAATTAAATTGAAAAGTTGATAAGTCATACTAAGCAAGAAGCTACTAGGTTCCAGGTTGGAGGCCATCGCTAGTAGGTTGGAGGCCATTACTACTAGGAACAGTATTCACTTTGCTCAGATCGCCATGGTGCCCTCATTGGGGGCCTTTACTCCAACACTGCGCGGCAGACCGAGTTCGCTTGGGCTCCCAGCGAGATCGGTGGTATTCTGTCAATTTTGAGGAAAGAAAAGACTCGTTTATATATAATATAACAATTTCTGTATATATTAGGCTCCAAGCGCCCTTTGTTTTACCTTTTCTTAGTACAGTATATGTATATATAGTATATATTTTATATAGAGTTAAGTTTTTCTAAGACCAAATCATTAGTGTGTGAGCTATCCTGCGTCCAGTTACTAGAAGCTAACTAGGAGTGTTTTCCTTATTCCCTTGATTAAGTTAAGAAGGAACGGTCAAAAATAAAGATTATAACAGCTATAACTATATATATATCATATCTATCGTGGCTTTTGGAATGGATAGTCGACTCCTACACTTTTCCCCACACTTTCACACTCCCTCCGTCCCTCCGCTCCCTCCATAAGGAGATCTCTACCTTGCGTTCTCACTGCAAGGAGCGTTCGTTGGTTTATATCAATTTATGTGAGTTGAAAACAAAAAAGACGAGCAAGGTCTGAAAATAAGCTCCAATGTGTGATGCTAACGATCATCCACTCTTTGAACCGGCTTTGAGCATCCTGTTTGCAGCGAACTCACCAAACTGCCTGACAGTTTGACGATGAAAACGTCCTTCAAGACACTCCACGGGTCCGATACCTAGCTCTGATATGCCGTATGCTCGTTCTGTTGTGCTTTCAAAAACCTGTGGCAAATTTTATTGGTCTCCGAGGTTAGAAGAAAGAAGTCCAAATCCAAAGTATCTCGCAGGGAAGCTTATATACTTGCAAAGCTAAAAGATTCGGCAAGCAAAGAGCAATGCTCTCATCTTCACATCCATCTCACTGTGCTTTTTGCTCTTCAAAGATCCAAGGTAGCTGGTAGCTAAACTTCCGACAGAAGTCTTACATGCTTGAGCTGAAACTTGAACTTGTTCGGGTGACCGAGGCCTTCAGCAGGAATCGTCCTGCAATCGTTTGACAAAGAGCCCTGTTTGCACTCAGCCGAGCCTGTCAACAGGAAGTGAAATCGATCAAAAGACATGAGGAGTACCCAATGCACACCAGTTGAGCTTTGGATGCTGATGGATGCTGGATGGTTGAGATTGCTGGCATTGTACTTCAGCTCCTTTTTAACTCAGGGCAGTTTCACAGCGGTTTTGGCACGCAAAGAGACTTTTGCACCATTTTGTCGCGATGAATCGGCAAATCTTCCTTCCCGACAGACACACATGACCGACACGAAGCGTCGATGTGATCTTCCACCCAGGACCATTGGCCAGCTGAGAGTAGAGATGGCCATGCGCGCCAAGGCGGATGAGGTCATGCGCCTCAAGCAGGCACACGCCAAGGCGGATGGCACATCTCAAAAAGGGTATGGCAATCGCATGCAAAGGCCTTCGAACACCGCTCAAGTCGGGCTCAATAAAGAAAAGATATGAAAAGATGATATAGTAATATATAAAGAGATGTAGCTGCATTATCCCCCGGCATGCTGTGATGTCACCACTTGTGCTATTGTGAGTCTGACTCTTTGTATGTGGATCCACAATGATCCAAAGGTGGACATATGTTTAATGATCTAAATGTGGCAAGCTGCTTGGCACAACATGTGACAATACAAATCATGGAAGCTTGCAAACAGGAAGCCGGCAGCGAGACTGCCAGCCGGGAACCCAAGCTGAAGCCAGCTTCATAGGAATTAAAGCTTTCTATACTATCAGACGATCAGAATTAGATGTGTCTAGATGTTACTAGAACAGATCAGTCCCGCAGTTCATTGAAAGAGACTGTCGCAGAGGTTGCTCAGCGACTTTCAAGCAGACTTGCGACTGAGGCTCAGGAGGTGCAGGCGATTTGGCTAGGGCGATCCAGGAAAAGTCCAAAGCTGAATACGGCAGAGACACATCCTTTCAGACGGAACCCGCTACATTTGGATGCGATGTGACTGTGATGTCATGAGTACTCAGGATTGGTCAAAAGCTGGCGGCAGAGCGTCAAGCACAGGAGGTCGGATCACGAGTGAAGCATCGCAAGAAAAGCTGTGTGCCACAAACAAACTGAACTATCTCACAGCCTTCATCACGTTCATCGATGGAGAAGTGCTAGCTGCCAGCTTCCTGTGCAGTCCCCGACAAGTCCAAAATCGCCGAAGAAGCTCGGGAGGAAGAAGACCTTTGTGACACGCTGCCAACTTCTCAAGACAAACACAATGTTAGCTAGTAGTAAGGCCAGGAGCCCCGAGTAGCGTCCTTGCTCCTAGTAGTAAGGCCAGGAGCCCCTAGTAGCGTCCTTGCTCCTAGTAGTAAGGCCCCCCTAGTAGCGTCCTTGCTCCTAGTAGTAAGGCCCCCCTAGTAGCGTCCTTGCTGACTATTCAACCGGGAAGGATCGAGAGATTGATAGAGTTGTCCGTTGTGCTGATGAATAGCGTAGTTTTTGCATTCTACTCGATATGGTGTAGCGTCGTGGTGCAACGGAGACAATTCACATCAATTTGCAGAGCGTTCCCCGATTGACATGATTAGACATCAAATTGATTAGACCGGCAGGATGGAAACGTCCTCTTTCGTCTCCACTGGCATCTATGATGGCCCTTGGATCGAGCCCCAAGGGCTCCGGCGGTTGCCATTTGGGAACTCTCCAGCAAATGGTGATTTCAAGTGGTATTGTGAGCATGTTCCTTATTTTTTTCGGCTGTCCAGCTGTCAACCCCGACCCATTCCGTCGACGATATCGCCGTGTTGCTGCACACAATCCAAAAGCACTTCTTGTGTATCTCGGTTTGGATTATGAACTGTGTTTCCAGCTGTACCCTTGTGACCCAATGGCTATTTAATATTTATAGTATATACATACAATTCTTTTGAATAAAGCACTTACCGGAAAGGGGTCGAGCCAATGATACTGATGAAGGGAGAAGTACAATCAGTTGGAAGACCTCCATTGTTGCAGTCCAGCACATCATGAGGTCGTCGAAGTTTACAGCTTCAAAGAGCCCTGGTGCACTCAATCGCGGCTTGGCTGTTGAGGAACACGTTTGAAGATTAATGAACCAACACAAACACAAAGTACGTCCTGAATGAGCAGGACTCTATTTGCATTGTCAGCATCAATTGCTTAGATTTTAGTGCAGACACATAAGGTGAATGAATGCGCATATTGTGTTCATTGCGTTGATGTGGCACGCATCGGTGGGTGACAACTTCCCTCAGGCTGGAAATCTGACCAGCGACCCGATCCAGCCTGGTACAAGGCAGAACGATGAACCAGTGCTCAGGTGGTGTCCGTAGAAGGCTTGCTCTAGGTGACTTGCATATACTTGGATTGTGTGACTCAGATTGCCATCAGCTTTGTGAGAATGCTGAAACCTATCCTATCTTTCAAGTCACTGAATCTAGTATCGTCAAACAGCAGATGGCAGGTGCAGTACAACATGGTCCATGGTCGGCCCAGGGTCATCGCCCTAACCGGGCGTAGACAGAGCGTCAGGAGAAGGACATTCAAGTGTCGATTGCATCAATGATCTAGCCCAGAGAAAAACATGAGTCATGACATGAGTAATATTGAGTAATTCGTGATTCGGATAGTGAACCACTACGAGCTTGATTTAAGAAAAAAACCATACACCAGCAGGAAGTCCAAAACATATGTGACACCAACACACAACGCCAAAGCGTTTATGAGGTCCCCGACTTTGGAGAAAGGGCGAGGCACAGAAGTGCGTCCAGGCCTCAAGAAACATCACCAAACTGTTCTGTCCCCCTGTCACCATACAGGAGTCCAAGTCGGAGGAGGGTGGTGATTAAGGCCCTTGAAGATCTTTGAAGTATATCATAGTATATCAGTATATATATCCTCTCACACCCATCATCAGGTGGAATGTGGTAATGATGTGTGTCTGAAGTTGAACCTTTGCTGGTGTAGTTTTGGCTGGTACTGTAGCTTTTCTACTTCTGTAAAGAAGACATCAATATATGCATTCCTACCCAGCAAAGATAGGCAGTGCAGCCGACTGCCCAAAGCAGCCACAAAGGCCACTTGCACTCTGCGACCATGCGCCTACCTCCCCGAAACAAGCCCAAGGGTCGGGTCCTTGGCTTTGGATCGAATCCTTGATATGACAATCATGACATGCTGTAACCACATGGGATTCTGCATGTGACGGTAGACAGTAGCGATCATAATGTGAAGAGAGTTGCCTTTTTCTGCCTCTCTCTCTCTCACTTTGTTTCTTCCTCTTTTCCCTGGATTCCAATGGCCTTCGTTTCAAAGGACGTTCGGCCTTACCAGCATTGACGTCGACATGGACGACGATTGGAGGTGAGGATTTGTCAGTATGCAATCGCAGCCAATAGTTGAAACATGTTGATTGCTATACAGTAATAGACAAGATGAAAGTACCGACAAGAGTAGCTTGTTATATCTTGTTTTTTATTTCTTGATGCTGAAACTCTGCCATTAGTTATATAGTTTGTCCAAGGTTCCCTCGAAAGAGTCAGAGCAAGTCACACAAGACATAGAGACAGACAAGATATGACAAGATGCCTTGCGTGCTACTTCTTGTGCGAACTTCTTCGTAACTACGCGAGGTATGACGATATCAAGATGCAACCAGAAGGCAGGATCTTTGGCAAAACAAACCAAACGCCAGCGGGAGCCTTGGCCTGCCTTGGCCTTTGAGGTGCAGGTGGGAGTTACATCGCCAAGGCATTGAACTGGGACCAGTACAACAACTTGCGTGTCTTTGCCCCAGCAGACTGCTGAAGAAGAAGCGGCAGCTGTTTGTGCTGTGTTGAAACGCGCCCTTGGACGCGCCCTTCGACCGAGGTTGGTCGACATCCCCAGCTCCACTTCAACCGGGTCACTGAGCCAGCAAAGGATCTTCACCTCCAGGATATCAAGGCGAGCCGTGACGAGGTTGCGAGGCCGCGAGGCCGCGAGGCGAGTCATGCAATGGGCGAGTCATGACTTGTCCAAGGCATATCCCAAGCAACGCTTCCCCGAATGGGATTTCACCAAGTCCTTGGGTCGGGAGCCCAAGGAAGCAAAAGACTGGAGCACAGAGGCAGTGATACGTAGCAGCTGGAATGTTCAAATTCACTGGACCAAATGATACTGAATGTCTTGCCCAGAGATGCGATCACTTCATTCATTCCTCCGAGTCAATTTGTATTTGAGTCAATAGTCAATGAAAAAGATAGTCTGAGTTCTCAAAGCTCAGGGCACCTTTCTGTGCGTGTGTGTGTGTGCCATATGATGTTGCTTTGGGGTTCAGAGTTTGTGAAGCAGGCCGAAGGCCGCTGGCAGAGAATGACGTGGCGGCTCCGGGCAAGTATGAAGTGAATTACAGCGCTGCGGATGCACAAGTCGCGTGGGTGGTGTTGGTACTAGGATGTATTAGGCTGTACAAGGACAAAATCCACATCGTTTGCAAAGAGTCATTCAGCCGTGTTCCGTGTCCCATTGTATTGGAAAGCGCCGGCTGTTTCAGAGATTCCAAACACTTGTTGCCCCAGCCGATTATAGAATAATGTCCCGGTGTCATCGTTGTCGAATCGATTGAAATGTGTCACAAGACAACAATTCCTTTTGGCCTTTGGTTCACAGACCTTCCTGCAGGTGCTGTGCGTGGCAAAGTACCCTCTGGCGTGAGTTATGATCGCGCGTTGCCTCGCGAGCTTGCAGATGGATTGCTGGGTACCGACTCTCAGCACATCTCAGCAGAAGCTGAAGTGTCAACTTCATGCTGGTGTGAAACAAACATCCAAAAATTGATTGTGAGAAGTTTCCTTTTGGGTGGGCACTGGTAACCAGTTCACTGGTAGGTATTGCTGAACCTGAGTATTGCATGATCCTGAGGCCATTTTGCCCTTCAAGCAGTGCTCCATCCAGATGCCGCAAGCCAAGCAAAGATCAGACGTCACAGCTGTAGTCGTTCATTTGGACGGGAATCGGTGGTGTCCTTACCGTTTTGCGAACAAGCTGTTGTGAGTCGGCTGCTGCATGTAGCTGCCGAAAGTGTGATTTTGGAGCAAATGTCGATGTACAGTAGTTGCAATCTATCCTGGCTGCTACTCACTCTCTATGCATCCCGTGAGGCCAAGCGTTTTCCTGGAGGGGTCCGCTTTGACACATCCACAGCAAAGGCTAGAATCGGATGTTAGTCTTTGCTGCAAGGTTCTTGCCAGAGGGCTGACCTTGCTTCAGGACTTTATCAGGCACAGGATTACCAACGTCAATGATTTTGACAAAGAACTGCCTGAAACCCAGATGAGACGTCATCATGGCATCAAAGACTACTGGGGACTGACGACGATGATGATGATGATGATGACTTAATGCAGTTGGATTGACATCGACGCAGAATCATCCAACGACTGCAAGGTCAAGACCACCCTTGCGAGCTCCAGCAGAGCACACCTGGCCTGAACTTGAAGTGTGCTTGAGTGGGCAAAGTGCAGCTTGCGAAGAGACGCCTCCGGCTACTGTAGCAGGTATCATGATACGAGTGCAGCGGCCTGAGTCAACACAAGTCACATGCATTGATCATTTTCATGCATGCATTGTTTTGATACTGTAGAGTAGAGACCTTTGCCACGAGTGACGGCCCAGCGTTCGCTTTTGTGTGCTTGAACTTCTAAGGATCCTGTTGCCTGCGAAGTAACGCTGCGTGCCGTCCTTGGCAATGATATGCCTTGATCGTTGACGCTTTGAACTGTTGGTACAGTTTGCTATATAGATTCTATATGATTCTATATATGTGTGCTGAGGGTTTTCCTACATTCTAGAGCCCCATACTAGTCAGGTTGCCCGGCCTGATAATCACCTTCTATTTGCATAGGTATGACCAAGGCTTCCTGAAAGCCAAGAGGCCACGGCCACCTTTGTAATTGTTGGTGCTCCAAATGTACCTGGCACCAAAGGATTGACAGTGGAACCTGTGGGCCAGCTGACCCAAATCCTCGGACATCCTCCGACCAAAAAACGTGGTTTTCAATGGTTGTCCTTTGCAATCCTTTGTTTTTGAACAGATGCTACCGCCCGCGCCCTCAAAGCCCTATGGCCTGCCGGATAACACGTTAGGCTTGTAGTAGAGTTTTTGAGTTCGTGAAAGAATGCATGATGGAACAATTTCAAGTACATTACATTGCAGGGACACTGAATACCTGCGTTTTCAGACTCCGTCATTTTATTGGCAGGAGTACCTAAAGAACCACGAGACAGTTGTTTTTCAACAAAGTGGTTCTCTTTTTAACACGGTGCTAGATAATACTGGGACTGTATTTCAACCGCCAGCCTTTCATTCCGGGCCTTGACCAGGCAGGCAAATGAACTACAACGCAGATGTTGCAGACCTATGTGTCTCTCAGTCGCAATAAGTTCGAGACTTGCCGAGCAAGTTCACTTGAAGTTGATTCCAAGTGTACAAGTTGTCCAGCGAGGTAGCCCACCGGCGAGACATGGCGTGATTCCGGCATGAACTTAGCTCAAGACATCCTCAAGATCTTCCTCAAGGTTATGTCTGCAGCTCAAACTGCTTTCGAACCTAAAAGAGCCCGACAATGGGCCAGGCCAGAATATGACCACATGCTGCCGCGGGGGAAAGCTTCTGTGTGTAGCTCAGATGGTCCTCGTTTGTTTCAGGATGCTAGAAAGGGTGCATTGATGACTTGAGACCTGTCAGTAGTGGGTGGGACACGGAACCATTAATAAGGTCCAAGGTTTGCGCGCTCTTCAAACGGATGTGGGCAAGAGCCTCAGAACGTGCTTGCAAGTGCTTGCTTTGTTTACTTGGTTTTTCCAGAGAAGCAAACTGATATTTCAGGCAGTTTTGGACTCGTTAGACTTGGAGTCAGAGTACCCAGACTTTGTGTCTTCTATGTCCAGAATAAGGTGTTCGCGGGTCAGTTGGCCTTGGTTTCATTGAGACCACGGGCCAGCGGACGCTCCCGGTGGAACAGCGAGATTCTCAGGTTTTCCGAGAACCACGCAGTTTATTGCAGACATGCAGAAGCCGGGAAGACACGCTCGGACATGAAGGACACAACAAGACATGCTCGTCACTCGCACAATGCAGGTTGGAGGGCAGGAATTCTGCCTGGAGCCGCAGGGTTGACAGGACTTGCGTGTGACTGGGGTGTCATGCCAGGAGGGAAGAAAGTTCCACAGTCTTTTGCAAGGGGGCCTGTAGCGTTCCTTCAACTCAAATAACTCGTCATACCATCAATCATCAGTATTAGTATTTTAGCACCAAAGCAGCACAAATGCTATGTGTAGTCAGCATTGATTGGCGGATCGTCCAAACATGCCACACTGTATATTATAGTCACATATTTGCTTGATGTTGACTTGCCAATGTTCCAACTAGTGCCCTGCCAAGAACGCAGCCTATCACCGTGGCGATGTTGGCCCCAAGCGAACTCCCTAGAACTGGCTTCATGTTGAGGACCTTTAACAGCCTGCAAATTGAATGATGACCTCTTGCAATCATCAGAAGCAGCAAGTTGGAGCGTACTACTAGCGCTATACTGATGCATGAACTGTGTTGCCGGAATTGCAAGTTGTTTGCAATACCACCTGGTACAGTATCAGATTGAAGGCTGAATGTCAAGAGTCCGAGGTTTGATCATCGTACACTGTTTGAGGCTTTGTGCGTCTTGCCCTCGACCCTGTTTTGTTGAGATGGAAGAATGGTCAAGAGTGATTAGTTTTGAGCTGCTTGACACCTGGTCGCAACTGCACACCCGAAGCAATCGCCCAGTTGGAGACAAACTTTACTCAAGGGCATCCAATTGTCCACGGCGATTTTGCCAGGGCCTGAGAATGCAGTAAGGGACAAACAGTATTGTGCTGTCGTGGTAGTAAAGCATTCTCCCTGTCCCCTGTCAACATTCATGGGGATTTGCGGTTTCTCAACTCTGCGGCGCACCGTGTTTGTAAGATTGCATGACCAAGGAAAAGAAGCCTCCTCCTTTGAAGAAAGCCAAAGTTGAGGCTGAGTTCAAACGCCAGGCAAGGCACTGGTCGTTGAGATTCACAGGCCGCCTCTCCAGAAAGATAAAATTGAAGGAAAGGTCAGTCTCCTTGGAGATTAACTCCGGCAGGTGTTTTTGGCAATCGTTGCTGTTTGCTTTGCCAGGCTGTGAAGGGCTTCACAAAAGGTGTAAAGGCCTTCCTTGAAGAGGGTCATTGCTTGTTTCACAGAATTAACATGTGATGTTGGTCTCTACTGACTGGTAGACTGTCCAAATAACCTATTCAGCAATGATACTATTCGGCTCAGGCTTGAGACTGATTGTGCCCTTTGTTCTTTCAGGGGCTGCCAGAAAAGCCGCCTGAAGCGCGAGGTGGCTTGCGCTGATGACTGATGGGTTCTTCCTTCTTTGGTGCTGGGAAGCTGAGTCTAGGTGCCTTCCGGCGAGTTCGAAGCCTGCCTCAGGCGCCGTGGAACAAGGTTGAGCTTCTGCCGGATTGATTTGACAAATAGTAGCCACACAGAAGTGGGGCTTTTTGCTGGGCTTTCTGTTGCAAAGTAGACAACATTTGACATAGATAGAGTATGATACAGTAGATGATTTCTGACAACATGCATAATATGCAATCACTACAAACTCATCCGGAGGCCGTTTGTATCCTTTTGTTCCTTTGCGAGTTGAGGACTGACCAGCATGTAGTCTATAGGAGGGAAAGCATTGGCATAGGCCAGATATCCTCTAAGTGAACAATCGTAATCCATCGGACATGCGCAGAGCACAAGTATCAAACTATGTACAGCAACCAGTTTTTCTGTAATTTGTCCTTGGTCAACCGCTCGCAGTGCTGCATAGCAGAAGCCTTTGATCTCGGCGGCAGGTTGGACCACCGGTGGTTCGAAGGGCCCCACCTCCACCTGAAGAGGTCCACCTAGTTCGCTTCAAGAGCCACACAGATGCGTGTTATGAAACGAAATGCAAAGATTACATTCTGTTAAAATAAAGACGTGTAGCATCGTGTCGAAGCACATGGCACACACGGAAGACATTCTGAGACGGTTCACAACGCAATGAGCCGATGTTTGACACAAACTGGTTGGTCAGTTGGAATTGCCCACCCCTTTGTCATGATTGTGTATCTGATTGTATTTGAGTATTTGCAGTGCAGCTCAACACCCTTTCGCCTTGGTGTTTTGCAATGTCGTGCAGGGGACGGAAGACTGGTCCAAGCTTCTACGAGGGTTGCGAGGGTTGAAATCTCATAGCTCACCAGAGCTGCTTGTATGAGAGTTGACAATGCCAAAGCATCAAAGACCTAGTTACATCGAGGAGCCAGCGTCAACTCTCGCAGAGGTGTGTTCTCGTTAATGCATGACAGACTCCAAAGGAGAATGTCATTGTACATCGTGTTGAAGTGCACACTTTAACCTATCCCTGTGTTTGGTGGTGCTGTTATCTGGCTTGGTGTTCATCCAAAATGTTTCCAGAGACGTGTGTTTCGGTGGCCTGGGTACCGACCGCACAAAGGCTGCTGCAGAGAGTTTCAAGCTGATTCGCAAGATGCGAACTGCAAAAAGAGGGTCCAAGGTCCAATTGCTGTGTTACATTCAGGACATTGGAGCCCACGTGTTGTTTCAACGACCACGCGGAATGATTTTATGTTCCATGCTGACGGCTTGACACAGACGAGCCAAGGCTTTCTCCAATCACAAGCCTAACCTACCAAGAACACAAGGGACACAGAACATCCTGAGGGTTAAGACATGGATTAACAAGTTTGTCCTTTCCTAAAGATTCGAAAATGTTAAAAACGTAGCCACTTCGCACACCAGTTTCATTCAATAGCAGAAACACATGGCGACACCAACCGGTCCTCCGGTTTCAGATGTTTGCCTTCGACGAACTAGACCAACAGGCGTGCTGCTCTTCAGATCCATTCCTTGTTTATCAGCATCATGTTCATTCGTTCTCACCCACCTGACAGGAAGCAGAAGCTTTACAGCATGCCACTCAAGATGTGACAGAGGCCGGTTGAAAAGAATGTAGCAGACTTTCCAAGGGAGGACAAATGAGAGCAATGTAGCCATCTAGGTTGCAGGTCATGTGGTTCAGGACCTGAAAGGGGTCATGCCGGCACGACAAGAAAGCTGACTCATTCTCTCTCGACGCTTCCTTCAATGCGCACGGAATTGCTGTGAACTATATTACTATATTATATTTGTTTCAAGGAAGCCAAGAGTCCTCCTTATGCTTCATTCAGCTTGATGTACTTCCGTTGACTCCTGTACTGTAGGCTCTTTGGACATAAAATGACCTGAATGTATATAAGTGAATATGTACTGGAACAAGAAGCTACTAGTAGCTCCTGGCATCGCTACTAGGAACCCGGGCATTGCTACTAGTAGCAAGGACGCTAGTAGCGATCGCCTCGAGCGGTCTGGTCAGGTTCAAGGTCTCATCGACTTCGACGAGTTAGCGGAGGCCGAAAATGCCCGGAAGGACCCCGTCGGCGTCAGATGTCGCCTTCGAACGTCGAAGCGGCCTTCAGAAGCCGACTGATTGATGTTGGTGTTTCATGTGTCAAGAGAGGGATTGAAGCCATCCAGTTTTGGCCAATGAAGAAGGGTTCGTAGATATAGTACGACATTATATAGCATTATAATACATTGTGACAATGATACATTACTGTATAGTTTTGTGCTATATATAAAAATAATAGTAATAGTATTTTTTTGTAATATAATATGAGTATGATATACTATATATTGTGTATGTTCTATTTTTTCTGATTATATCATAATTCAATACAGTTTCAGAGGTGTCAGCAATGTGTGTAGGAGATTAGATGACAAAGGATGCTTGCACCCTGACAAGGAGGAAACAACCTCAAGTTGCAAGCGCCGCTGCATGGCAGAGCGTGCTCAGCCTTCTCGGGGCGCAGCCACACAAGGCATAGGCGCGGTCAAGTCTTCAACCGAAGTAATGCAATCGGCCCACGTCGACTTGAGGCAGGAATGTATCGAAAAAATCCAACAGACCTTGTCCGACCCTGGTTTTGTAATCATTTGCAAAGGAGAGCCGAAGGCTACAGAGAGGGCATGTGTCGCCCAAAATTGGAATCTTGTGAAGCTGCTTAGGGCTTGGTTCCAGAAGCGATCAACCGCCCAAATGATGACTGTCAGTCACTAGGCATATACTATGGCCTGGCCTTGCCACGCTCCGCCCCCGAGCTGCTGGGAGCGGGCGCAAATTGGCTAAGTCGCGCGTTCTGGCAAGCAAAGACCTTTCCAGAGGACTCTTTTTCCACACATGAGGCGCATGAAGAAGCACTGCTATTGTTTCAGGGAATTGAAGCAGTAGAAGTGACTTTTTTCGTTCTTTCTCAGGAAGAGACTGTTTCACAGGAGCTGGCAGTGTCCCAAATTATAGCCTTGCGGCCTCTATCAGGAGGTGTGGGTGACAACTCTGAAGAATATAGAACAGAGTTTCTGCAGAGACGTGGCATTTGCATTTTTCTGGGTTAGCATTAGCAATGCGAAAGATCATGTTATTATGAGTGATGAGTTATGAGACAATATGAGATGTAGCCGTGCCACCAGTAAACACAGCTTGTCAGGATCATACCTACTGGAAGTCACTTTGACTTCTGGTGGGCTCCTGATGCTGGCCGTAAACTTCTTCAAGGTCGGGAACTGAGCTCCAAGTGTGAGCCGAACCTCTCCAGCTTCTGACTAGATGGCAGACCGAGAATTCCGAACGCTGGTAGTTGAGTTGGATGCCTACACCATGTAAAGCAAGATTTTAGTCAAGAAGTGCAATGCCTCACACTGCGTTGTATGAGCTGAGATGAAGAAACGGACCTTTGAACTCTGCAGGAAGGCTGCCGCAAAGATGAGATTTCAGGAGCGGGATAATAGGGGCATGTTCTGCTTGAACCACGAATTGAAGAAGAACACTTGAACATACTTTCGCAAGCAGGGTGGAGGCCATCGCAAGTAGGTTGGAGGCCATTGCTATTAAGTTGGAGGCCATTGCTAGTAGGTTGGAGGCCATCTCAAAGTAACACTTGAACGCTTTAATCATTTAGTGCTCCACTCACCAGCAACACTTGACCGCATGTGTAGGTGACCTCAGTTGGTGAAAGTGCTTCAATGTGCTGTGCTTCACGCAGGGACAGAATGTAATTTAAGCTATCACCTGTAAGGCTTCTTTGGGTAGTTGTTCTCATTTCGGGTAGCTAGTGCCCAAATGTGCCCAATACTGTGGTTGGTTGTGGTGGCCTTAGCAGAATCTAGCAGAGCAAATAGAGAGAATCAATGTGCAAAGAGGGCGCTGAACATCGCTGAACCGTTTCAAGAGCCGCTTCGGCTGAGCCTTTAATTTAGAAGATGTGCAACTCAGAGGTCACCTTCAGAGACTGGCAAAGGCCAAACGCGACAAGAACCGTTCGGAGCCACATGGGAGTGTCCAAAATCACCACAACATGGGGTTCTTGATGTTCATTCCAATCAGAAAGGCCTGTGCATCAACATTGTGATAGTGCTCCGTCACATTGAGAGTCTATCTCTTCTCTGAATTAATTGAAGGCTTTGCAAACCGTTCTCACAATTGAAAGGAGTACGACCCAAAGCCTCAGTCTGAAGCTTAAAAGTTTTGAAAGAGTAAGTTGGCATGCTTGATGAAAGATTTGCCTCAAGCATCAATTTGTCTTCGCTGGATTTGGTCAGCTTGGGCAGTCGAATCAACGACTGCCCAGGGCGGTTTCTTCTTCGGTGTGAATTTTTTGCGGCTCTTGGAGTGCGAGCTGCCCGTCCCAGCAAAGTACTGCTTCGGCGACGTTTGCGATAAAGGCTCCGCAGGCCTGCTTTCACATGCTTGCCAACACGTGACAAGATGCCTTGTTGACATGGGTTAGAAAAATGTCAGGTTGAGCAAGTACAGTATATGTTTCGACAGCCTTCATCGTTCAGAGATCAGCTGGACACAGTAGTGTCGAACAATATTGAATCGAATATGGAAAAACTGTTCTGTTCTCAATGTCAGTGCTCACCAACAGTCAACAGTACTGTATCAGTCAGAGATACGGCTCGCAGGCATTCTCATCACCGAATGGTCGCGAGTTACATGCACACCTTTATCCTTTTGCTCGTCACCCAAGTGGGGCTTGCTCGAGTTCCTCGATCGCACTTCAGAAGTACTCAATGAAGGGCCCTGCCCGCTTGGTTGACATTTGGGTCCAGATTGAAGTTTGGGCCCATGAAGAATCAGAAGAATTGTCGATACGGTTGATGCAAAGTTGTTTTGAAACTAAGGCCCCGTCAAAGTTGCTTTTTGAGCCCCTTGGGCCATGAGCAGCTTTGCCTCCAAGGTGTGGTGCGTGTTTTGAGTCACTACTAGTATCCTTTTAAGAACATGCAGAAGTAAGGAGGACCTATGAGGACCTTCCATTTCCGAAATGAATTGGCTGTAACATGCTTCAACCTAGCGTGCCTGGCTATACCATTGCAAATCTAGTTTGGCTGGAAATGTTTGGACATGTAGAAGAAGGAAATTAGTTTTGATGAATCTATCCAAGTTCTGCTGATAGGCAATCCAGCGAGTTTTGGTCTTCCAACCTTAGGAGCATTGGGCCTTGGCTTCAAGCCTGCCTGTGAAATTGAGGAGAACCAGCAAGTTGAGAAGTAACATGAAGATTAAATCTCAATGCTACTGGCAAGAAAAGGCTGACTGTCGACTGCTTTGGTTTCTAGATTCTATATAGATTTGGGCGTTTGCGAGCTGTCAATAGCCGGAGTTGCATTTCTTTTTGTATGAACCCTGCTTTGTGAATAGAAACTCAGTGACTTGGCGACTTGGCATGTTTGTTTCGACACAACATATCTCAAGGAATCTTACGCCATGTTTGAGCATGTTTGAGCCGGAAGGGCATTTTCCTTGCTTGCAGGTTGGAGGCCATCGCTAGTATGAGGTTGAAGGCCATTGCTACTAAACGTATTTCATCGTATGTCACTTTTGCAGATTCCCACACAGGACCAGTGGCACCAGAAGTCTTGGACGTTGGCGCAGGTGGACGATGGGTTTCTTGTCTCCAAGAAGCTCCCACTGGTGACTTTTCTAATTAAAGCTTCTTGTTTCTAATAGCAAACATTGTTACTACTAGTAAGGCACTTGTTACTAGAAGCGATGCACTTGTTACTAGAAGCGATGCACTTGTTACTAGAAAATTGATGAGTTGGGCGGGCGCTGGAAGATTCGCTAAAACATATTCTTCTGAGCCTAACAATATTTGTTTGGTCACAGCACTTCCAAGCGCCTCGTATTATGTTGTTTCCTGTGTAAACTGCAAAATAGCATTTGACACATGTCCGAAAGTGCTCCAAACTGCTGTTCACAAAACTATATATGTTTTTTCAGCGATCAGATGCTAGCTTTCCCAGTACACTCAGTATGTTGTCAGGATTAATTCCTGTGAGAGTGAGAGTCCTTCTGTACATATACTGGCACACTCGTAGCTGGATTCACATCAGAGTCACCCCTTCTCTTGGAACAGGAAGTTCTTGAGTTGTCCAGTTGTCCCGTCAGTCCTCAACAAGTCTTCATACTTGCTATGCCAAAGAGCATGCAACAAAGAAAGTGCTCTTCAAACTCTAGCAACTAGCACCACTGCGACCATCTG